TTTTAGTGCCAACCTACAAAAATCATCTCGTATCTCCATGAGTGGGCACCACAGTAAATCCAGGGCTGACTGACAGCAGGCCCCTCCCTCCCCAGAAATAGGCCAGTCTTCCTTCACCATCAGGACCCCCAAACCTGTGCAGGGAATGTCCAAACTCAGGGCTATCACACAGCTCTTGGCCTTGCAGCCCAATCTGTTCCCACTTGCAAATCCAAACACACCCTTTATTCTACGTTTTGAAAGCTTTACTTTCATAGTTTCTTTTAATTCACCAGACATTTTTTGTTGTTGTTTAGAAGAGTGAAAACTACAGAAAGAAAAATTCCCAAGGTATCATCCACGTTGAGTCCTTCCCCGGCACCTTAGCAGCAAGTTAGGATTCTATGGGTTTTCCTAGCTAGCACTCCACCGCCATGGCCCAAAGCTGAGCTAAACAGAAGCTAATGCTAAATGCCTTCAATACTTTTTGAAAAATCCATCAAAGGTTTTGCTGAATGATATTTATAAGGGCCTTACTGTTCTCTTTCACAGACTGAAATGCCCTTCTCCGACACTTGAAAAAAGTTGCTCATGCTTTTCATCTTTCCCTCTCAGAGTGTAAACATTGTTTTGAGTGAAAAGAGCTGAAGGAGTGCTTACTTTCCCTTGAAATTTTATTTTTAAATAAGAGAGGGAGAAAATCCTTTTTCTGACTAATACTAATAATACAGGTCAAAGTGTCAGGCGATATACAATTAAATGGAAAACAAAAAAGGTTCCCCCTCTCTTTCCCACAGTACAATGGCCCTGGAATATAAATTACCGATGAAGATGAAATAATACTTCAAAGACTATAGGGCAGGGCAGCTCGGTGTTTACAAAGTATTTTCTATGGCACGATGAGACATTAAAGATGATGGTAACCCACGGACTCGAGGGTGTTGCTGAATAGACCAAAACTAGCATGAGGTAGGATTTTAGGTCCCCGTAGCCTGTGACCCCGTGATATGCTTTGTTTTACAAGGGCAGCTGCAGTTATCAACAGATGTTTCAGCAATAAATAATTGGTATCATCTCGGAAAAGACCCATCTACCTAGGGAGAAGGCATAATACCAAAACACTGCCCAGCTATTACAGCCACATTAATCTCCCATCTCTTCAGGTTTCTCGGGGAGCCTACTGCAGGTGTTTTTTCTGGGAGAGCGCGGACAAACTCTCTCAAGTCAGCAAGCTTTGTGTGGAGTGTAAAGGAGGTTGGCCCCTGCCATAAATTTCTGTCTGTGGCCACACACCAAAGGAAACGGGATTGGAGAGTCAGGGAGGAGGGGAGGAGAGCGGTGGGGAGGGAGGAAATGGGAACACAGTGGAGACCAGAAAGCAAAACACAAAACATGTATCGTTTTTCTTGGTTAAATTCAGCCCAAGAGAATAACACTATAAATGACTCTTCATTTTACCAACTCATGAACTGTGGAAAACAGTTGTTTGTGACGGGCCTTTTTCTTAAGCATTCTGTGCTCAACTTCGATCTGTTAATTGTGGAATTAAAGACACAGTGTTTATGCTCTGAGTACAATGCTAATTTGAAAAACAGGGGGGAAGCATTTTATGGGAAGGATTCATTTCAAGGTAAAAAAAATCACAGAAAGTTTATATTTATGAATAAACTACAATAAGAGAGAAAACATGAAAAGACAAACTCAGTAATCTTTAACTATTTTTTATGTGAGAATGGAATTTCACAATTAATCAGTTATTAAAATATGACCAGCCAGCTCTGATAAACTCTAATATTGAAATTGACCTGATTGGGATACGGTGAAACAAAAACAAATCATGGAATTTATTCAAACTATTTTTAATAATCTAAGATATTAAAAATAGATTTTAGGAGCACCTGACTCACAGGGTGCTATGGTTCTCCGTATTTACAAAACAGAGTGGTTTAGCAATTGTGCACTTGGGGTCTGGCACAATAGGAGAACATCCTAAAAGTCATTAGGAGGTGTGGTTGTTTAATTTATAGCTTGCTGGGCAAGCTAAAGAAAATGATGCTCAGAGTTCAAAAAGCTGTCAGATTAAATACATTAGAGACTAAAGAAGGCCTAATAGACAGTGCCCCTTAGAGCTGCCATTGAGTGACCTTGTGAGCTGGGCTCACACTTCTTAAATTCTCTATGCTTCTATTTCTCCAGTGGTGAAATTTGTGTAGTGTAGAGAGGCATAGCGGGAGGTATCATAAGTGGGCTCTTAAAACAGTCTACCAACTATGAGCAGCTTCTCTCCCAACTCACATTAAACCCCCAATGCAGCGAGACTGACATTTTTAAATGATGTTTAAAAACATCATTTTCAGTTTATAAGCTAATATCACTACCAGCTTTGAAGGCAGGGCTCAGGGATCTGGTGATTGCAGGATGGAATGAGGGGAGTAAAACCCCAGTTATAGTGATGTGCCACATCTCCAGCACTCAGCCTATGTTCAAAAGTCAGAGAAACCTGCTAAGCCCAAAGGTCAAAGCAGGAGTCACTCCCTCTTGCGAGGCCATTTTGCTCTCGCCTTCCTTGGAAGGTTTGTAAAGTTCTTTCATGCCACTAAGCTAATTCCACAAGCGATCTCCAAGCAAGTAAAGTGACCATCAGCTTTTGCAGGAGGGAGTCTGAACAACAGTTCCCAGAATTGATGAAAAAGAGATTTTTTTATTGGGTTGGTCTCCTATAGCCTTCTCACTGGATTCTCCTTACTCCTTACCTTGCCCCTCTCCACTATATCCTCGTTCACACTCTCTGCCTTTCCCCCTTGCTCGCCACTCTACTCTTCCCTGCCAGCAGTGGCTCTCAAACTTTAGCATCAGAATCATCTGGAGGGCTTGTCTAATGCTGATTGCTGGACTCTCACTCCCAGGGTGTTTGATTCAGTAAGGGTTTTTGATTTGAGCCCAAGAATTTGAATTTCTGACCAGTTTTCAGGTGATGCTAATCCATTGTCGGGAGGTCTCACATTCATAGCCACTGCTTTAGAGCTGCCGTGTCCAATAAAATGGCAGCCCTGACCACACGTGACTATTTACATAGAAATGAATAAAAAATAGCTAAAAGAAAAATTCAGTTCTTTGGTCCCGTTCACCACAAATTTAAGTGCTTGAGAGTCATCTGTGGCTAGTGGCTACCATATTGAACAGCACAGTTGTAGAACATTTCCATCATCAATGCAGAAAGTGTTACTGGACGGCCTACAGCTTACTTCAGATACAATAAGCAAACCTCATGGCTTCTACCTATGTTTTCAAGCTCTTCACTTGGTGCTTCCTGATGGAGAATTGGAGCTGGATGAAGGAGAAGGCTGTAAGTCACAATTTCACCACTTACTGGTCTGTTCCCCTGGGCAAATTAATCTCTCTGCACCTTAATTTCCTTGTTTGTAAAAGAGGGATGATAATGGTAATACAGGAGATCCCCAACTTACAATGGTTCAACTTGTGATTTTGTTACTTTACGATGGTGTGAAAGCAATATACATTTAGTAGAATACAACCATTCTGTTTTTCACTTGCAGCACAGTATTCACTAAATTACACAAAATATTCAATACCTTATTATAAAATAGGCTTTATATTAGACGATTTTTCCCAACTGTGCAGTAATGTAAGTGTTCTGAGCTTGCTTAAGGTAGGCTAAGCTAAGCTATGATGTTTAGTAGGTTAGGCTTAATAAATGCATTTTTAATGTATAATATGTTTGACTTATTATATTTCCAACTTATGATGGATTTATTGGGGGCAACTCCATCATAAGTCAAAGAGCATCTGAATCATTCTCAGGCTATCGAGAATTAAATGAGACGATGCATATGCAAACACTTTGTAAACTCTATAATGATAGTTAAGTTATAGTTATTATTTTATTCTACTTTTCCACTAATACTGACCACATTTATTTAAAACCCTTGGCTCACTATTGTGTTCTCCTTAAGTATTGACTTTCCTTTGCTTGCAATTCCCAGTCTGCTTAACCTGTTTTGTTTGTTTTTTCGGAGGATGAGAGAGGTGGGGTTTTACTGTTTCTATTAAGTCTCTAAAGATGCTCTTGTGTGTCTAGTGTGTCTACAAATCAGGGGATCTTTCTTAGATTTTTGCTTGAATGGGCAAGGACAATGTCTATATATTTATTTTGGGATGACTCAAAAATACAATCTTATGTAAACCGATAAAGTAAAAATTTTAGGATATTGTCATGCTTCTAATGCCTGATCTCCAGACAAATATATTTTTTATTTGAGAAAATATAAACTAGCAAACTTTCTTCCTTGACAATCATCTGAGAGAATGTGGGTAAAAAGCAATGCTATCAAAGAGGAAAATGGTTCTCCCTGTGTCATCCCCAGAACCACAGCCTGAATACCGAGCTGCAATCTGAGTTCCTGTGCTACTCCTCAGGCTCTCTCCTATCTGGCATAGAGGTACCAGTTCAATTAATTTCCAATAAATGAGTTCAAAAATAAGCATGTCAATGACTTTGACTTGATACTTCCTGAACAGCCTTAACCTTGAGGGTATAAGAAAGTCAACAGGACCCTAGGTGGAGCTCAGGGAAGGAATATGCCAGACTTCAATAGCTTAGACAGCAAGTCACACTGATGAAACAAGGGCGCATTTATTTTCTTAAGCTACCCAACTTTTAGAAAGTAGTATTTCAAAATTAAAATGCTGTGAGGAATGGCGAAATCAAATCTGCTTCTTTGGCCCACCAAGGATATGTAAATATTTCAAGATGACAGGGTTCATGTTAGACCCACTGACCACTCTTCACTTTTACTGGATTTGGCTTTACAACACAAGATCTTATGGGCAAGCAATGCTTTTCAAACAGCTATTTCCCCCACATTAGTCAATCTGGCAGAGCTGACCATAAGGGTAGGGGGCTGTCTTGTGCTTCAAAGAAATTTAATCTATTAGACCACTTAGAGTCTAAATGCCTCACTTGGGGATATCAGAGGAACAGGTGGTGTGGCTCTTCCTACCAGTAACTGCTGCAACCTGGCGCCAATCACATCCTTCAGGTTTGTTTTGTCCTCTGGGCCCACAGCTTGTTTGTACTGCCACTTTTCAGGCACGAAGGGCCACTTCATTTCCTTTGCCTCCTGGATCAGGGTCCTTAACTCGCCGGGGAGTGAAGCTGAAAAGGTCAGAGTTCAGGTAAGGAAATTGCAGTCAAAGAAAAGGCTGTTGAGCTACCGATGTTATGATGAAGCACCTCAGTGGCAAAAAAAAAAAAAAAAAAAAAAAAAGAGAGAGAGAAACCTTTTCCCTGCCTCTTGCTGGCTGGTCTAAGCTGTTGGTTCAGACTCAAAGAACAACAGTGGGGAGCTATCTGTCAGGGGTGGCCCTGGCCTACTTTGCCCTACAGGTAAATTGGGGTAGTCAGGCATTAAGAAAGGTTTTTAGCAGGAAGTAAAGCACTTTAGTGACTATCTCTGCATGAAGAGTCAGAGAAAGGAATGAAGGAAATATTATTTTCCCTGTAAAATGAGAAAGGGACTGAAATGGAATGGCATTTTGGGCTTGTGGCAGGTGGGTGATGCAGTGTTAATTTGTACAACCTCTTTTTGCTTCTCTAAGACTTCACTTTCTCATCCCTTCGATATGGATACATTTAAATACAGACAATAACTACGAAAAACACAAATGAGATTTGAAATGGTATAAATTAATTGTGAAATGGCCCTGTTTCACATTAGTAGATATATTAAATATCTTAATGGGCACCAAATCTACTTATAGCGGTCCATAATCTCTGATACAAACTTCGGAAACCCAAGCAGCTTTGGCAACTGGAAATTTTTCTTAAGTTTGGCACCCGAAACAGGCTTGAATTGACTAGAGGTTATTTATAGTCCTGGTTAACGACTCAGTGAGATTGCTCAAAAGTTTTGCTGCAAAATTTTTTGTGTTTGACTGCACTCCACCTGCTACTGAAGTATGAATGTAATATATGGTACATGCACCGGAAGACCCTTCTAACACTAGAAAAATTCTGAATTCTGAAGTACACATGTGATGCCAGGGTTCTGAAAAAAGGATTATGTATATATGACTTGTATATATGACTGCCATATAAATAAAGGACCTGTATATATGACTGCCAGCTATAAATCTCTAGGTACTTATCTTGCAAGCCTCTCACGCTCAACATCCAAAACTGAACTCATCACCTTTTTCTAAATCTATTTTCCCTTATAAATCTCTATTTTAATGACTGGTACCACCATTAATTAAGTTCCCAAATCCGAAACCCAGAAGTCGGTCTAGACTTTGTGTTCTCTCTTCTTCCCCAAACCTAATTAGTTGTCAAATGCTGTGGCTCCTAAAATCCATTTCCTCCTCTTCCTTGGCAGTAATTCTCGCCTGAATCTTGCTCCATCCAGTTCCTATTGCACATTGTTGGTCTTCATTTTTCTAAAAACAAGATGGACCAGTCCATTGCCCTGAATAAAAATCTTCAGTGGTTTGGCAAATCCTGTTCTGGCTGTTTGGACTGCCTTCCCTTGGTGCCTTGTGACCAAATTCAGGCCCATTGGCTTCAGCACTCAATGCAAACATTGCCACTTCTCCTCAATCCACCATGACCTCACAGTGGAATTGAGTGCCCGCTCTGAGCACTTCTAAACCCAAGGGAGCAGGCCCTTTCCAGCCGTCATCCCACTACTCTGTAACTGCTTCTGTCTCTCACTGGACTGCTATCTCCCTGAAGACAAGCATCATGTCTCATCATTTTTATAAGTCACACCATGATGGGTGAAAGACCAGTATGATTAAAAGACAAGGTTCATCTTCTAGCTGGCCCTTTGAAAATATTTTTATATCATCTGTAAAAAAAGGCATGGTTCATCTAATAGCTATGTGAAACATTTTAAATAGAGCAAAAGAGATATGACAGAAAGAACAACAGAAAAAAGGAGAGAGAAAATCTAACTTGGTCTGTGATCCCTTTTTATGAACCATTTAGCCACCAACTGGGCAAATGTAAGGAAGTTTTCTGGTGGGGAAGCACTGTTTGGCATTGAGGGGATATCACATGGGCCATACCAGTGAATGATTCACACTGATTACCGAGGACGGCTTACAGGAATCACACTGAAATTATCAGCCCTTATCTCCATTGAGCAGTGCAGGACTACTGAGCATCTACTGTGTGATGCTCCCCCTTGAAAGCAGACCTACAGGATTAGGGACTTATGTGGCCACATTCTGACCCTCTTACAGCCACTGACATAATTTCAACTTCTGAAACTGTTTTCCATATAGTTGTAGAGAACATTTATTCAAGAGCATTTCTAAACAGTCACAGACAGGAGGACCCCTTAGTCCTGTTTACTTAGGACTGTCCTGTGTGGTCCTAGGGTCCTTATTAACAGTGCTCCTTTTCACTCTCAGAAGTGTCCCAGTTTAGCTAATAAATTATTTAAATTATTTGAACACTGAGTCAGTATGAGCAGTCATATGACAACGGAATGTGATTTCTGGGTTCATAGAATTTTATCGTACTTTGGACTGAATAGTGTTAGTATTTTCAAATTTCTTCATGGTAATGTCATTTTTGCCTCCTCCACATCACCCTTTCCCCACACCTCACGTCAGAATGTCCTGTGGGGCACCCTGAAATAAAATATGCCTCTAAATTATGTTTTTAAAATGTATCTCTGGATTTCAGTTCCTTCTGCATCTCTGGGGAAGTTGCTGGGATGGTCACCCACGCTGACAAGGACGATTTCTGAGGGAAAATGATGGGGTCGAGAGGAGGAGGGAGAAGAAGAAAAACCTAGTGTTTGTGTTGCAGGGTCTGCTGGCTCGCCCCGCTGTCATAAGTGACCCTGTACTAATGCCTTTCTCTGGGAGCACATGCGGTGACGACATCGGTGGCGGTATGACCCGCCTGCTCCAGCCGCTCCGCAGCCACCTGCAGAGGGAAGGGATCCAGTGCAGACTGCACTCCATCCGCACGGTGGGCTTGGGTGGGAAGCGCAGCGCCGCCCTTGGGCTGGGCTGATGCTACAGCTGCCAGTGGCTCCGCTTAGGAGGCGTCCTTCCCGGTCGGTTTATTGGATTCAACCAGCGCCAGGCAGTTAGCCCCAGACCCAGCAGTGGCTTCCTCTGCCTCTCTGATCACTTACTTCCCCAAGCAGCTTACCTGAAGGGCCATGTCTAATTTAGTGATTTTACAGCCGTGATTTGCCTTATCTGGAACTAAACTGATTACTTCTCCTATTCTGTGGCACTCGGGAAGAAAAAGAAAAGAAAATGCTACTCAATTGGGAGCTCAGAGTCTTCACCAGAGAGAACACAAAGCTTAAAGGAATTTGGGCGGAGGAGACAAAGGATGTGGTGTAGTAAAAGGGAGAAAAAAACTTTAGTGGAAACAACAGCACACAACACACCGCCCCTGGGGAGAACTAGGGCCAGCCATAGAGCATATTATATAGGTGCCAAGTACCTGCCATTCCCCGACAAAGGCTGACATCTGTGAGAGTGATCTCAGGCTGACAGGCACAAGAAGCTAGGAAGCAAAGTCACACGTTGGTGTATCACAGAAACTGAGGCTGTGAAACGACTGGGTGTAGGGGATTTTTATCTTGAAAGGAGGACAAATGACAGGTTACAAATAATTAAGACTTCCATAGTTCCCTCGTAAAAATGTATGTGCCTAGGTACAAGAACTCAGGAGACAAGACTCTCCCAGAACCTTCTCCCATTACATAATGAGCAACAGCAAAAAACGAGGAGTGTGCATTTTATTTAGGAATCTTGTTTCTGTGAGGAATAGCAAAGTGCTAAAAATACTGAGAAAAATATTAACAGCATGTAAAAAGGACAGTACTTATGGAAGTGGAGGGAAATTTATTCAAATGCTAAAAAGAAATCTAAAAAAAATAAAATAAAAAGAAGAAGAAGAAGGTTGCCCCTCAAAAATTGGTTAAAGAAGAAATAAGAATTGCTTTAACTTTCTAGACTTTGTGATGGAAACTTCCCAAACAATGACTTATCTAATACTCTGAATGTCACAAACACTAAAATGAGCAAAAAGCCAAATTCTCAAACCCTGATAATGATGCAATCAGTTTTATCAAGATGAGAGAATTTATTTTACAAATGGCATGAGAATATATCATGAGGGATGTATTGGTGATCAAAAAAGTGAGGTTGGACTGGTGAGATGACATATTTATGGAAACCCTAGAAGTCTATGGAAACTGATGAGGCAAAAAATCCTAGTTTGAAAAAAAGTATGTGCCACCATTCAGAAATTGCTTCAATTTTTTAATAATTGAAATTTACGTGCACCAGCCAACTTGGATCCTTTGTTCTTCTTGAACTAAACTGTTTCTTGTAGCCTCATGTTTACTGAAGCCTAAAATTAGAACTGACAGCAATTCACTGCAACAAAGTAGGCTTCCTCCCCTGCCCGTCCGCCCGCAGCCCATGTCCCATTCATGCCCTAGAAATCCACTCATCTCTCGGTGGTCATCTGCCAAGAGAAGAAAAATAGGGCAGAGATGAGAACGTGTCATTCAGGCAGGGGAGAGGAGAGTGAACCTGCTGGCTCACCCCTGGTGCCTCCCATCAGAACCTCACCTCTGCAGCGCTGGTCCTCGCTCTTGTCCTCTTCCGACACATCTGGCCCTTCCAACAAGAGCTGGTCCAGCACTTGCTTGCACTCTTGCAGTAGCGCGGCTACCGCTTTTTGATTATTCATGATGATTACTATGAATTGGGAGTCCCTGGGTCTAGGGTGATCAATTACCTAGGAGAAGACATTGATTCTCAATAAAGGAGCCCCTTGAAGGCCGAAGTACCTGGTGAACAAAAGAGAGGGAAAGATGATTAACTGAAGTATCATCAATTATCTGTAAGACTCAAGCAGGGAGGGATAATAGGGCAAATGCAGGAAAATATATGACAGCCCCCAAGGACTTCATTAGAGGAGTGTGTGAAATTACTTCAGGGCCTGGCTAGATGGGCAGCACCTCGAAGGCCTCAGAGTGCAGAAGCGAGAGGGGCCTGGTACAGACTCCAGTTATCTATCCACAGTGATGTCAGTGGAATCACATGGGCCAAATGAAATGAATATACTGCATGATTTATTTATCTTCTGCATACTTCACATCAGTGCCTCTGGAGCTCAGTGGCACCACACTCTCTGCTCTCTAAAAGTCCACAGGAAGCATCTGGCTAACAGTTTTAATATCAGGCACTAGTACACGGTAATAACCCACTGCTGATTTCCCCTGTGCGGTATTCTTCATAATATTTAGATGATATAATTTGGACCAAGATAGGCAATGACAAATGCCAAATTTAAAGCTCTTCACTGCCAAGAACACTACCAAGTAAAATAGAGGACTGATATCCCAGAAAACCCAATTTCCTAAATATATCAAATGGATGGATCTGTCATATGGATCTACTTATATTGTCATTTAACCTATATACAGTTGAGAGATTTCTTATGTAAATATTAGTGTGATTAATGAGCTACTGCTGTCAAGGTAATTTCAAGAATGAAGTAACTTACTAACAGACAAAAACAATGCCTGAAAAATACATAGAAACACATTATTCAATTAACAAATGTTTTTGTCTATCTTTCTTTTGTTAAAGTATTATATTGTAAACAAAAGATAGGAAGTTATTCTCTCTTAGACATTGCCAGAATAGATATTGGAGCTGCTGTCAGGTTTAGACACTTCTGGAGGGTGTGTAGAATTTTATTACCAAAAGTAAGAGAGTCTGAAAGGGAAGAAAGGAAGAAAGTAACAGACATATGGATGGCTCTAGTTATTCTGTCTCTGAGCTTATGCATGTGATGAAGTAATCACTGAAAATATTAAAGCAGTGAATTATTGTGTTGGTGTTGGGATTAAATGTGCTCTACTAGTCAATGGTTTCTTAACTAACTTTAAGAAGTTGGCTTTGAATTTGAAATAGCAAGAAAGCCTTTTTCTCTCTCTGATTTTCTATTCTATGACTTAACAGGAGCAGAAAATGAAAGCTGAGCTAACTGTGTAATCTAAATTTTGTGTTTTTCATACTAACTTGGCAGGTATACTTCGTTATCTTGATATACTTTGTGTTTAAACACACACACACACACACACACATTACACACATACGTTACAGAGCTAGAACTGCCGAAACAAAACTTGAGGTTATTACAGGCTTGTTTCTTTTAAAATCCTAATGTATTTGTCTATGAAGAACACAAGCAGAGTGCTCAAATACAAAATTTGTGTTACTTGAAAGGGCATTCACTTAAGTGAGATACTGAAGAATTAGTCACTAAGAGCAAGTCTAACCATTGGTGTCTCTGTGTCACTTTTTGGTAATTCTTGGAATGTTTCAAACTTTTTCATTATTATTATATCTGTTATGGTGATCTGTGATCAGTGATCTTTGATGTTACTATTATAATTATTTGGGGGCACCACAAACTGTCTGGGAGCCAGCAAAGTTAATCCGTGAATGTTGTGTGTCTTCTGACTGCTCCAGTGACCACTCATTGCTCCATCTCTTTCCCTCTCCTCAGGCCTCCCTATTCCCTGAGACACAGATATATTTAAATTAGATCACTTAATAACCCTACGGCAGCCTCTATGTGTTCAAGTGAAAGGAAGAGTCACCCATCTCACACTTAAAATCAAAAGCTAGAAATGTTAAACTGAGAGAGAAAGGCACATTGAAAGTCAAGATAGGCCAAAAGATAGGCCTCTTGTGACAAATAGCCAAGTTGTGAATGCAAAAAAAAAAAAAAAAATTTCATGAAGAAAAGGAAAAGTGCTGCTCCAGAGAACACATTAACAGGAATTCAGGAGAAACTGAGTCCAACCCTCATAGATAACTTTGGGGTGTTCAAGACTTCAGTGATGGAAGTAGCTGCAGATGTGGTGGAAATACCAAGAGAACTAGAATCAGCAAAACCTAAGATATGACTAAATTGCTGCAATCTCATGATAAAACTTGAATGAATGGGACGTTGCTTCTTACATATGGGCAAAGAAGGTGGTTTCTTAAGATGAAATCTACTCCTGGCAAAGATGCTGTGAACATTGTTGAAATGGCAACAAGGCATGTAGAATATTACATAAACTTGGTAAAGCAGCAGCAAGATTTGAGAGGATTGATTGCAATTTTGAAAGGAGTTCTACCATGGGTGAATGCTATCAGACAGCATCACATGCTACAGAAAAATCTTTAGGAAAAGGATGACTCAATCCATGTAGCAAACTTCATTGTTGTCTTAATTTAAGAAATTGCCACAGTCACTCTAGCCTTCAGCAACCATCACACTGATCAGTCAGCAGCCATCAGCATCGAGGCAAAACCCTCTACCAGCAGAATGATTAGGACTTGCTGAAGGCTCAGATAATCATTAGCATTTTTTAGCAATAAAGTATTTCTTAATTAAGCTGGGTACTTTTTTAGACATAATATGATTGTACACTTACTAGACTACAGTACAGTATAAACATAACTTTCATTAATATTATGCACTGGGAAACAAAAACATTCATGTAACTCATTTTTTTTTTAATTTAAAGATTTTTTAAAGAAATGGGTCTCACTATGTTGTCCAAGTCAGACTCAAACTCCTAGGCTCAAGTGATACTCCCACCTCAGCCTCCCAAGTAGGATTACAGGTACACACCACTGTACCTGGCTTTGTGTGACTCACTTTATTGTGATACTTGCTTCTGTGTAGAGGGTTGGAACTAAATCCACAATATCTTCGAGGTGTACTTGTACAAGTTTAATCTCTTTTCTGTTTAGGATACTTCAAAAAAGTATTTCTGCATGGATTGGGTGCTGAACGAAAAGGTTTCCAATGTCTCTTTTAACTCAAATGTCTATAAGTCACAATGTTTTATGCCACAAGCTGGCGATTGGCCTGCCTACTTAGGAAAAGAACTAAGCAGTAAAGGCTGCTCAGAATTTTATCCTCATACTGCTATTGCAAAGAGTACAGGAGCATATGTTCATTCCTTCTGAGTACTGCAGTGAGCTAATAAAAGAGCTAATTAGTGGACTACAGTGAACAAGAGGCCCTGAAGCAATGATATCCCATTCCCATCATTCCTTGAGAGAGGGAGATATTGGCTAAAATGGGAGGTTAGCATTGAGATTAAAATATACATTTGGTGGTTTAGAAGGCTAAGAACAAATTTTGCTTGGAGTGAGCTGCAGGTAAGTCAGAGACTCATTTTTCTTCAAGTCCAAAATTAAAGCAAGAAGGGCGTTCTCTTTCCCAGCATTCTTTTGTAGAACTTCATCTAGAAAGAGTGGTGTAACAAAGAAATAGGAAGAGCGAACTGCATTATAATATAATTTTAGTAGCACATCATGCTTTTGTCTAAAGGCTTATGTTTTCTTAGTGCTGTATCATTCCCTTAAGGTAGAAAGTAGTCTTTTGTTGAACTCATAGAAGCAGAGAGTAGGGTGGTGGTTACCAGAGACTGTGGGATGGGGAAATTAGGGAGCTGTTGGTCAAAGGATACAGAATTTCAGTTAGACAGGAGGAAAAAGTTCAAGAGATCTATGGGATGTCATGGTGATGATAGTTAAAAACAATATATTATATAAGAGAGTAGATGTAAAGTGTTCTCACCACAAATAATGGTATATGAGATAATGTTAATTAGTTTGATTTAACCATTCTGCAATGTACGACCATAAATGTATATAAGTTAATCTGTCAATTAAAATAAAATTAAAAAAGAAAGTAGGCCAGGCGCGGTGGCTCATGCCTGTAATCACAGCACTTTGGGAGGCCGAGGCAGGCAGATCACGAGGTCAGGAGCTAGATACCATCCTGGCTACGGTGCAATCCAGTCTCTACTAAAAATACAAAAAATTAGCCAGCTGTGGTGGCTTGCACCTGTAGTCCCAGCTACTTGGGAGGCTGAGGCAGGAGAATCGCGTGAACCTGGGAGACGCAGCTTGCAGTGAGCCAAGATCGTGCCACTGCACTCCAGCCTGGGCGACAGAGCAAGACTCTGTCTCAAAAAAAAAAAAAAAAAAAAAAAAAAGTCGTCTTCTTTACATTGACAAATTAAATTTTAATTCCTCTGTTTCTGTAAATGACTTAAGTGGAAACAGCATACAGTAATGAAAAGAGGACCTAGAAATAGGAAACTAATGCTTACAAGAGTGTTCAACAGATATTTATTGATTAATTCCACTTTATACTCTGTCATTAACTATTAGTAAGACTTCTGGGCCGGGCGCGGTGGCTCAAGCCTGTAATCCCAGCACTTTGGGAGGCCGAGACGGGCAGATCACGAGGTCAGGAGATCGAGACCATCCTGGCTAACACAATGAAACCCCGTCTCTACTAAAAAAAAAATACAAAAAAAAAATTAGCCGGGCGTGGTGGCGGCGCCTGTAGTCCCAGCTACTTGGGAGGCTGAGGCAGGAGAATGGCGGGAACCCGGGAGGCGGAGCTTGCAGTGAGCCAAGATCGCGCCACTGCACTCCAGCCTGGGCGACAGAGCGAGACTCCGCCTCAAAAAAAAAAAAAAAAGACTTCTGGATCCACTTTTGACATTGACTTTTCTCATCTGTATTTTTGAGGGAGTTGGTTGGAACAATTGCTAAGCTGCTTCTAGCTCGTAAATTACATACTCAGCAGCAGTCTAAATAGACTATGTTGTTTATTGCCAAAGAATATTTGATATTTGTTTATTAAGAAATTCCCTAGCTCTTTTGAGAACCCTTACATATCGTTTTTATGTATGTATATTTTTGTGTGGTTAGAAATATTGGCTTGAATTTTAGAAGTTGATTACTAAATTACTTATTT